GGGCTTGGCTGGCGGGATTCCACCTGATCGCAGCCGAGCCTCTCCCTGCTTGCTAATTAATCGCTTCCCTGGGGCGCCACGCTTTCTCAAGAAAGAATTTTCTATATCAGAATTTTAGACCTTGAGATGATAGCCAAAGGGTAGAATGAAAATTTCTTCTCACAAAAGGTGAATTAAACTTAGCAGTTTAGAAAGCCTCCTGCCACAAAGATGAATCACATCTATCCGTTCTAAATACACACATACACACACACACACACACACACACACACACAGTTATTTTGGGGGTGGAGAAAGTAGTGGGGAATGAACGGGGGAGGGGGGCTCTCTACCACTGAGCAACATCCCCAATCCTTCTTTTTTGAGACTTGATAAACTTCCCAAGCTCCTCTTGAAATTGTGATCCTCTTGTCTCAGCCTCCCAAGTCGCTGGAATTACATGCATGCACCACTGTGCCTAACTCCATTCTGGCGTTAAAAGTCTACAACACTGGTTACTTTTCAAATGCATACTAAATGTGGTGGTCTGGATGGTTTGGGTGGCTGGTCCCACTCTCAACCATGTGGCCAAACTTAGCACCTTGCTGTACATTATCCTCCAAAACAAATCCGCAAGTATTATTCATCCTTCCTACTAAAGGTGTCTATTAGTATACCACTTGGCAAAACCTAAAAATCTGCTTTAGACAGCTCCCAATCACCATTTCTTCATCTCTGTTTTCTATATCCCTTCTCCTGATACTGCCTGAAAACCCCCTTGTAGTGTATTCAGTCCAGGCTCTCGTCTTGTATATTCCATTCAGCATGGCAGCTCTATTCCATCTGGTCACCAAAGCCATACTTTGAGAATGCTGCCCATTACTACCCTTACTCCTCATACAATGTCAAAAGCTGAGGGCTATGGTTTGAAGGTGTCCCTTCCAAAATTCAAGTATTGTCAATGTGACAGTATTATGAAGTGAGGCCTCAGGAGGTGTTTAGGCTATAAGCTCTGCTCCCTCCCCAATGGGAAGCTTCACACACCATCATGCATGCTTGCCCTTCTACCTTCTTCCATGTGAGGCACAGCTTGAGGGCCCTCACCAGATGCCAAATGCTGGTACATTGATTTTGGACTTTCCAGCATTTAGAACCATAAGAAATGAGTTTCTTTGTTTTATAAATTACCCAGTGTGTAGAAGTTTATTAGCAGTGCAAATGGACAAAGATACTCAAGATAACCCAGCCAGCATTCCTGAAAGGGAAAGGGGCACCTGTAGCTAAGAAAAAAGCAGTTTTTATGACTGCTTTTTTTTTTTAGTCATAATAGCATAGAAAAAAATTTTCTTCTAGTATTTGAAGATGATTCAAGAAAATAATAAAGCTAATGAAGCTAATGCTACATTGATGGCCATGGTAGGTTAGATTGACCTGGCTGCAGAAAGTTACCCACCTTTGTGTCTTTTTCTGTCATTGAGTTCTGGAGGTAACACACTTGGTAAACAGAGATAACACACCCATGAACAAAAGAACCTTTTGCCAAGGGCACTCCTTTGCTCTAAACACCAACTACATTTTCAGCCTAATTCTGGGTGTGAACAGGGATTTATTAGAGGTGACTCTACAAATAGGAGCCATAGATGATATTTAAGATGCATTCAATGAATAGAAAAAAACATGGTAAAAGAAAACTAAGCCATTTTAAATTCTAAAGAAGACAATTTTCTAACTAGACATAAAACTGATGGTTTGGTACCCAGTAATGTTCATATTGAGCATCATAAAATTCATACCAATTTTAGCAATAATCATCCTGCCCTCTCTCCACAAACCAAACTCAGATAAGGCATTCTATGATGAAAACACATATTATTCAATGGAAATAAGATGCAAATGACTTGTGAAAGGGGAGTCATTAAATAGTGTCTCCATACAATTTCAGAGCATATCATCCCTTTACAGATAAGAAAGCTAAAAGATCTAATGAGGTTAAGTGAGATGATAAAGAATATTCAACCCTTTGAGTTAGAATCTGGGATTTAAAAAAAAAAAAAGATAGCTTGGTAAAAATCTTTAGACTTTTAACAGCCCATTTCCTTTCTTACCAGAATTACTTCAAAAATGAGTGGGATCAGTTTGCTTTCTTCCACAAGTCTGTTAAAAAAAAAAAAAGATAACCACACATTACAATGTGTATATTTAAACTATACATTACAATATATGTATTTAAGCTATTGCCCTGATGCGGAGCAAGGAAGTCCCTGTGTTTAACTGTTAAATTCTGTAACCAAGAAACATTATGATTAAATGCTCACTTTTAATACACTGAACTATAGCTATTAAATACAAGAAATATGAGTCTTCTTTAAAAGTGACTACTATGTTGGTCTTATTCATCTATAAAAGTGAAATCTTAAATAGACTGATATTTTTAATGTGAATATTAATTAAAATTCACAATTATTATAAAGAATATCAAAAAGATTTGCCAGTTCAAAGAATGTAACCAGTCCTCAGTACAGTTAAATTATAAGCATGTGACACTGTAATTTTTTATATATGCCTCATTAGCTGTCTTCTCGGCATTAATGAATTAATGTACAATGAATTTTAATGGCCTTTAATTTTTAAAAAATTGGACACCAATCATCCAATACACTCTAGGCACTCTCCCTCATCAAATCTAGTTATAAATTTTCATCAATTGTAACAGAATAATTTTTTCATGCAATTTAAGAGAAACTAGCCTTGATAACACCAGAACTATTCAAAAGTCAGTTTTTATTAAGAACAATATTTCAATCTTTAAATAGTCCTTTAATCCTGGGTTCAGCAAACTTTTTGCTGCAATAGTCCACATAGTAAATATCTTCTGTTTTGCAGGCCACACTGTCTCTATAGCAACTACTCATCTGTCATCACAATATGAATGCAGCCATAAATAATACAGAAATAGTTCATGTTTATGTTCCAACAAAACTTTATTTACAAGAAACAGACAATGGGCCATTTGGGGGCCACAAGCTTGCTGGCTCCTACTTCTAACAAAAAAAAATCACTCCATTGTAAGATTTTATTAGAATTAACTTCGTATGATAAACTACAAAGCTTAAGATGAGCATATTGCATTTTTGTAGATATGTGCTGTTTGTCTATTTTACAAAAAATACCAGGTGGAAACAAATTTTATCATCTGTTTCCCAGTAGCTTGTTCACAGTAACACATGGATAAAAGAAATGCCTATGAGATTAACCATTAAAAATATCAGTGTTTACAAATCTGTGTCAAGGTAAGAGATAGAGAGGTTTCCCAACAACTAAAGCAGTTAGAAAGACCTATTTCAATGTCCAGAAAAATTAAATGTGATTACTGTTCCCCGCAGCATCATTCATAATAGCCAAGATATAGGAACAACCTGGGTGCCTACAATGAATAAGTGGATAGAGCAAGTGTGGTGAAACACATGACAGAATAATTTTCAGTTGTTAAAAAGAAGGAAATTCTGTCACAGATGAATCCAGAGGATGTTATTCTAAATGAAATAAGCCCGCATAGAAAGAAAACACTACATGATCTCACATATCTGTGGAAATCTTTAAAAAGTCAAATTCATAGAAGTAGAGAATAGAAGAGTGAATACCAGAGAGGCTAGGGCTGGAACTGGACAGAGAAAGGGGACACATTAGTCAAAGTGTACAAAGTTCAGTCCGCCCAGAGGAATAAGTACTTGTGTAATATTGCATAGCTCAGTTAATATGCTAGTAAATAATATATTTTCTATTTCAAAATTTCTAAGATATTTTAAATGTTCTTACCACAAAGAGTATATGCAGTAATGAATATATAAGTCTGATTTAATCTTTGCATGATGTATATATGTAACATAAAATTACATTTTATCCCACAAATGTATGCAATTATTATTTGTCAATTTAAATAAAATAAAACTTAAATAACAAAATATTTAAAATAAATATGTAATTTCTGTAAAGGGAAAAAGGGTTTGATTACAAGTTGTAAGTTCATGTATATTTTCTCACTTTCCTGGGCAATGGAAGGCTCAGATGTGAGGATATAGCACCTCACACCAAGCCTAGGTAGGATGAGATATGCACAAGCTAAAGACCAAGCACAACTTCAGGTCCAGCACATTCATCATCTTCTTTCTCACTTTCCTAAATGTTAACTCTCTGTTTTACTAACTTTGTCTTAAGGCTTCATGATATAAAATATCGTTAGGTCCAGGATGAAATATCCAAGGGCATATATCTCAAAGTTATCCTAGCAATTAAAGCCAAGAAAGTACCAAGAACAAAGGTGCCACTACTTCTCCAATGATAACTAGAAGTCCAAGTCTCCCTCTATTTATTATAGGCTGCTGTATCATTCAGATATAGAAGTGTGCACTCACAAGACCAACCTGTTCATTTAAAAATATAATAAGTTATAACCAAACTAAACTACTGTAATGTAATTCATACTTAAAATTAGAACACATTCTTCTCCAGATCTCTGCATAATGAGCAGGCTGGATTGTCTTCAAAGTCCCCTCTAAAATGTAAAACTCCAGGCTTTACATTCTTCTGAACAGTCAAAAATGACAAATTTTGTTCCTTGATTTAACATAATTCAGTGTTACACTAGTAAACTAAAAGGGAACTCAAGCAAAGTTTAAAAATGTCATTAAAAATTCTATATTGTTTTCTATGATTTATGAACTAACCTTACATGTAACTCTAAAGCAAATAAAGAACCAGGGTGTCTGCAAACAGTTACAACTATTGAAGACTCTTTTTTTTCAAAATTTTGGAAACTGATCAACAAATGGACAATGAGATGAATATGCTGGGTTTAATCAGTACTTAAAAATTAAAAATGAAGCAAAGATTGTCCTGAAGTGCCAAACCTAGAACTGTTCTATAGTACGCTGGACAGGGGCAAAAAAAAAAATGTTTTTTTTATTTACTAATTTTATTTCACAGTGAGTTGTAGATGAACATCTGATATCTAAAAATTTGAAGAGACTCTTTGTACACTGCTTTTGCTCTATAAGATGATGACAATAATGAAAGCTGGCTGAAGGGCTGATGGAAATTCGTTGGATTACTTTTGCAACTTTTCCGTAGAGATAAAGCTATTACAAAATAAAATGTTTTTCTTTTAATCATTCCCAAATTCTTTGAGTCTTCTCTTTGAGAGGAAGGGTCTATTTCTTCTGCCTTTAAACCTCGGCAGAATTGTGACTGCTTTGACTAACAGTAGCATGGAAAAGATAGTTTGTGATTTCTGCCTATTCTCTCTATATCTTTTTCTGAATTTTCTTTTAAGTCATTTGTAGTATTTTATAAAAATATTTATTCTAGGGGCTGGAGTTGTGGCTCATTGGTAGAGCACTTGCCCTACATGTCTAAGGCACTACATTTGATTCTCAGCACTAAATATAAATAAATAAAAATAAAGGTCCATCAACAACTAAAAAAATATTTTTAAAATCCTCTGAAAGGGAAATGAGGAAAACTACCTCATTTACAACAACCTCAAAAATAAAGTAAAATACTTGGGAATCAACCTAACAAAAGAAGTGCAAGATCTCTACAACAAAAATTACAGAATGCTAAAAAAAGAAATTAAAGAAGACCTTAGAAGATGAAAAGATCTCCCTTGTTCTTGGATATGCAGAATATTGTCAAAATGACCATACTATCAAAAGTATTACACAGATTTAATGCAATTCCAATCTAAATCCCAATAACATTCCTCATAGAAATAGAAAAAGCAGTCATGAAATTCATTTAGAAAAATAAGAGACCCAGAATAGCTAAAGTAATCCTTAGAAAAAGAGTGAAGCAAGTTGCATCACTATAACATACTTCATACTGCACAGCAACAGTAACAAAAACAGCATGGTATTGGCACCAAAATAGACCTGTAGACCAATGGTACAGAATAGAGGACAGAGACTAACCCACAAAATTACAGTTATATTAGACAAAGGCACCAAAAACATACATTGGAGAAATGGTGCTGGGAAAACTGGAAATCCATATGCAACAAAATGAAATTAAACCCCTATCTCTTACCATGCACAAAGCTCAACTCAAAGTGGATCAAGGATCTAGAAATAAAACCAGAGACACTGTGCCTAATAGAAGAAAAAGTAGGCCCAAATCTCCATCATATCGAATTAGGCCCCTACTTCCTTAATAAGACTACTATATCAAAAGAATTAAAATCAAGAATTAATAAGTGGGATGGATGCAAACTAAAAAGCTTCTTCTCAGCAAAAGAAACCATCAGTGAGGTAAACAGAGAGCCCATAGCTTGGGAGCAAATTTTTAACACACACACACACACACACACACACACACACACACACACAGCCCTAATCTCTAGGATATATGAAAAAATCAAAAAGCTAAACACCAAAAAAAAAAAACCCAATCAATAAATGGGCCAATGAATTGAACAGACACTTCTCAGAAGGTAATATACAATCAATCAACAAATATATGAAAAAATGTTCAACATCTCTAGCAATTAGAGAAATGCAAATCAAAAGTATTTTAGGATTTCATCTCACTCCAGTCAGAACGGCAGCTATTAAGAATACAAACACAGGGCTGGGGTTGTGGCTCAGCAGTATAGCACTCACCTAGCACATACAAGGCCCTGGGTTCATTCCTTAGCACCCAAAAAAAAAAAAAAAAAATCAATAAAAAAAGGCATTGTGTCCAGCTACAACTAAAAAAAAAAAAAATAGAAAACAAAACAAACAACAATAATTGTTGGCAAGAATGTGGGGGGAAAGGCACACTCATACATTGCTGGTGAGACTGCAAATTGGTGCAGCCAATATGAAAAGAAGTATGCAGATTCCTTGGAAAACTGGAAATGGGACCACCTTTTGACCCAGCTATCCCACTCCTCGGTCTATACCCAAAAAGGACTTAAAAACACAGCCACATCAATGTTTATAGCAGCACAATTCACAATAGCTAAACTGCGGGACCAACCTAGATGCCCCTCAACAGACGAATGGATAAAGAAAAATTGGTATATATACACAATGGAATATTACTCAGCAATAAAAGAAAATAAAATCATGGCATTTGCAGGTAAATGGATGGAGTTGGAGAACATAATACTAAGTGAA